ATGAGTGCGAAAGAATGATCTTCAGAAAAAATGGATGAGTGCAAAATGGATTCTCCGAGACGGGGATTCTCCGAGATGGGGGTTTAGGGTTTTACTTGGGATGGGATGGGAGTGCCACGAAAYGTCCGAGAAGGATGGGGAGGRGGGATGRATTTTTTTAAAACAGGGGTACAATAGTAATTTCATTATGTCATATTTTGAAAGGGATCATAATTAATAGAATATGGGTCACAAATTAAGTTTTTAAAAAATGTGGTCATTTATCCCGCTTCAATTATTGGATAAGTCACAGATTCAAATTTCGTAAAGCGTAAAGCCTTCATTTCAATTTTCACTTCACCTTCCCTGAATCCATCGAGTTTCTCACAGAGCGTTCCAATCCAATAGGGCAGTTCTGGAGAATGGAGATGAAATCTACTGTAATGGGGCGTCTGCAACTCCATTTTCCTCAATCGGGTCTCCGCCAAATTCAAATGAACCCACGCCTCCATTGCCAAACCATCTGTGGCCTCAGAAAGGGGCTGCGCAAGCCCTTGGGGAGCTCGAGGGTGCCCTCCCCTGAGGCTATTCATGCCGTTCAGTCCCTCAAGCTCGCAAAATCCGCCTCGAAATTGGAGCACGTAATCAGCACCAAGCTCAGTAGATTGCTGAAAGCAGACTTGTTTGATGTTCTCGCCGAATTGCAGAGACAAAACCAACTCGAGCTATCGCTTMAGGTGTTGCTAATGTTATGAAGCTATTGCAATTTTACATTCAACTCTCTTCGTGCCTGCATTTAGTTGCAGTAATTTCATAAGTTTGAGAGTGTAACTGGATAGTTGTGGATGTGGTGGTTTAGAATTTTGGATTTAGGGTTTGATTGGAACAACTTTATAGTTTACCATTGTTCGTTTCGTGCATTTTCAAGCTAACTAACAGAATTGTAAAAACCAGATGTTATTGACTCTTGTTCCAAGCAATATTTCATAAGTTTGAGTGTATAACTCTAATCATGGAATTTAGAATTTAGGGTTTATTTGTAACAACTTTATAGTGGAGCGTAGTTCGCTCATTTTTTCAAGTTATAATGGACATAGTAGTAATAGTATTTGTTCTTTAGTTTCTACTACTGTGCAACAATTTCTGCATTGATTTGGGGATAATTGCTCAATTAAAAGTTCGATGGTGCGACTGTGAATTAGTGTGTTTGCATTTTTCGCTATCATTTATTGGTAATAGCATGGTTCGTTTGCAACAATTTCATTAGTTTGGGGTAATTTCTCAAAAGTCCGATGGTACAATTGTGAATCGATGGTTTTGCATTTCTCACTATCATTTACGTACTGTAGTTTGTAGACTTAGTTTGATTAAAGAACATCTACGGATTGTTATTTTGTTGGTTTTTTTTTTCCTTTGCAAGAACTCCAAGTCTTTAACAGTCTGATCGAAAAAGTTGATCGAACTGATACATTTTGTTCTTCTCTGCAGCCTATATTATCCTGCCACTTTAAGTTTTATTTCATTTTAACTGAATTCAGGCTTTAGGTCTTCAAATTTGTGCGGAATGAAGAATGGTACAAGCCAGACTTAACCTTATACCATGGGATGATTATGATGTTGGGAAAGAACAAACTCATTGAAATGGCTGAAGAGATCTTCAACGGGTTAAAAAAGGATGGGTTAGAACCAGACACACGAGCTTTTAACGAGATGATGGGAGCATATTTGCAAGCGGGCATGGCCGAGAGAGCGGTGGAGACGTATGAATTAATGAAAGCATCAGGTTGTACGCCAGACAAACTGACTTTCAAGATTTTGATCAAGAGTCTAGACAAGTTTGGGGAAGGGTTTGCTGCAATGGTGAACAGAGAATGTGCTCAGTACTTGGATTCTCCGGAGAGGTTGCTCAAAGATGTCAAACCGAAGCTCGTGAAAGATCAAAGTCCTTGAGCATGAACTTGGAAACTTCTTCAAACAGATTTGATGTTTGAGGTAGGCACTCTGTTTCTTACTTCTTCAAATGAAATTTGATGTTTAGGAGAGACCAATACCATATGGTTACTGCCTTGAAAATCTCTGCACAATGTTGAAATTCTTGTTGAATAAGAAGAGTTGTCAAATTTTTAGGTTYCATGAGGTGCATGCTTTCAAAATGCTTTTATAATTATGATTCGTGCCGATTAGAATGAATTTTTAATGAACTCCGTTGTTTTTCTATTCGATTTTTCATTTATCAATGAAAAGTTGTTTCTTATGGATTGGAGGGGAAAACTAAAGGAATTTGTCTGTTCGGTATGGAGGAGTTTGTTAGTTCGCCGGGTTTTAAGTAGTTAGATAGTATATGACGAGTTGCTTCAATTTGTGAGAGTCATTAGAGAGTGATGTTTCTAGCTTGGATCCTGTTTTGGGTTGCCCAAAGGGAAGGGTTAAAAAGAAAAAAAGGGTCAAAGCATGAAGATGGTCCCTATGATTTTTTGTTTTTGTTTTGGAATCCAGTGTGTCCGGACCAACTGGCCTACTATATTTGGTTGACAAGGTAACTCGTAGGATATTAAATCTTAGGTAGRTGGCCACCATGGTTTGAACTCATTCCCTCTGGGTCCTTTACTATTTAATTGGCTATGGTTAGATGGTCTCTATGATTTAGATGTAGTTTCATTTTAGTTCCTATGATTTGAAAGGGCTCTATAATTTAATTCTATAATTTTAAAAGTTTAATTTGATCTCTGTGGTTTTGATAAATCCTCCATGTTGAACCTATGATATATATATATATATTTTTTTTTTGTTTACATGACAATGAACTAAAGTTTTTTTATTTGGTTGATTGTATTAGTATACTATATTACGATTAAGACTTGAGTAAAAAATAGGAATAACATAGTGAGGTTTTTAGTGGGTAAAAAACCGATGGTTTATGGATAATTTGCGAGATTTGACCGAACTATAAAAATCAAATTGAAAAATTTTTACCRTCATAAATACTAAATTGAAACTAATCTTAAACTACAAAACTGAAGCTTTTAAAATTWTAGGGAACAAATTAAAATTAAGCCAAACCATCAAATTTGTAATTTAACCTTAAAAAAAATTAATAACATGTTTCATTAAATATGCTTGAAAGTTTGAAATTTGATTATTTCTTTTAGGTCATCTTGAGACATGCTGCGAAGCAGGGAAGGTAGCCCCTTCCAAGTTCCAAGATTCTCTCTTTGGAGGATTGTAAATGATGTATTATATATGTATTGCTCATTGATGTTGTTAATAACATTTTATTGTGAAAAATTAACCAAAAAAGGTTTGTGAAAAGTTAATCATTCACTTCTAAGATATCTATAATTTTACCAATATTTGACCACGGAGTATTTAAAGTACTAGAAGTTGTCCCAYATCGAAAAGGTACACGGAAGAAGTATGTTCGAGAGTATTTAAATGTCTATTAATACCAAAATATCTGTCAATATAATTATAAAATTTAGTTATTGATATGAAAATTGACATTGATATTTTCATCATTCATTTCAGTCAATCTAGTTTGATTTCTGTTGGTTTCGTGATCAGTTTTGTCAAATATTCAATTTTCAAAAGATCCATTTCATCCAAAAAATTTTTTTTTTAAACCTACACCCCTATGAGATTGCAATCTAAATGACTCGACGAGAGACTTCTAAAATAGTTAGATAGGTTAGAGAATATATTTTGGGTATACGCCATATATATACTTCAAAGTATAACCTATTATTTAATATATAGTAATAAAAGGTGTTGGATGAATATGATTTTATCATATGGTAGATTATATTAAAAGATATATAATGTTTGTCGGAAAAGAGAATTATTCATTGGAAAAGAAGTACTACTTATATGACTTTGGGGACATACCAAGGCGAAAGCTGATGGGTATGTGACGTCCGAGTAAAGAAGAGGGGTACATGAATGTATCGATACCACATCCTGAGAGGAATCTTGAGATCATAGAAGATTTAAAAGAATTGATAGTCATTACCTATACTAACAAGATGTACCTTCAAACATTYTAGTAAGGACTCACGGAATCTCCATTTCATGCATCATCTCTGAATTTCACTCCGACGGTATTTTTAGTTCAAGCTCCATATTTCCGGTGCCATTTTTCTTCCTCTTATCAATAATTCAGGCGGCATTTTTTTTCATTGTTTTTGGTAACTTTTTTAGCTTTCTATGACCCATCTCTTTTATGGCAGCTTTTTTAACCTTTTCTGATGACTCCTTAATTTTTCCAATGTATTAATTAGGTTATATAATATGTATCTCAGATACCATTTGTAATGTCTAAGGCCAAGGATTCGGAATCCGAATTTAGCCCTAATCGTCCCAACATTTCTCTGCAACATGGTTGTGTCTTTAAAAACAACATCAAAAAAATATTTAAAAGTTATATAATGAATGTAAAAGACGGTATTAAATGAGGGCAATTTGGATTTAAAAAAATCTTAATTCAAATTTCGCAATATATATTTGTAAATATTTAAAAGAATGGACACTCGTGAAAATCATGTATAATCTGACCTACTAGAGATAATTTCCCAACATATTAAGTTAAGGACTTAAAATAAACCATTTAAAGCCTGAGAACCAAAATGATTGTTTTTTAAAAGGTCATAAATTAAGTATTTTGAAAGTTCGCAGCTAAAATAGAATAAATATATTAAGAATCTGTTTATGAATGATTTTAAAATGGATGATTTTAGCAAAAATATATATATATATATATATATATATATATATATATATATAATGATAATTAATTTTGTGAAAGTGATTTTTATATAATCAAAAGTGATTTTAAATGATTAATATTTGAACTTTAAAGAGAGAATTTCACAAAATTTTTAGAAAGAGAAAAGTTGGAACAAAAATCTTAGGGAGAGAGAAATTTTAGATAGATAAATAAATTTAGGGAAGAGATGAAAAGTAAAACATTAAATAGATATTAAAAAATTTTAAAGATAAAAATTAGAGAGAGTAAACAAAATAAAAAACAAACAATGACAAAAATTTTAGCAATGAAAAAAMTAAAAATTGGCAAATTTTAAGATGAAAATAAGGTRAAATAGAAAGACAAATTTGAAATTTAAAACAATAACCATTTTAAAAAGTAATTTCTTATTAATATTTTGACAAAAAGTCATTAGGAAATCACCTCCGGAGTGATTGATCGGAAATCACGTAAAGTGATTGATCAGGAATCAYTTAAGTGATTGTGGATCTTAAGAGTTATTACCAAACATATTATTTAAGCGATAGTAATGCTGACATGAGTGAAAGTGATTCTCGCCATGCTAAAATCACGTCGAAAGATACCTCAAAAAGTAAGCAAAAGTAAAAAAGATTCTCCTTTTTGGCATCAAAGACCATAGTCTCTTGGACAAAAATGGAGAGAAGACAATATAAAGTAGGGTTGTAGAAAAAACTCAGTCAATCGATTCAACTCAATTAGTAAGTTCAGAAAAATAAAGTTGGATTCGACCAACCAAAAATACACACGTGTGTGTTCTATTTTTATGGTTTGCTCCCACTTTTACATTGCGCCTCTTCTTGTCACTTTTAATTGCTCACCTCTCTCATCAGATTTCCATCTCTCTCTCATCTTTGCTCATTGTCGTTTGTCCAACCGTGTTGCAATGCCAATCTCTCTCAGTCTCTCTCTCGTCGCTCGCTGTCCATCTCTCTCTCGTCTCCCTCATCTCTAGTGCATTTAGCCTRAGAAGTATGGACACGAACACCAATACGACATGATACAAAGATACGTCAATTTCTAAAAGACTCGGAGGGAATACGTTATTTATTTATTTAACTTTTTTTTAGGATATAGGTAAATTTAACATAAAAAATGCTAAATATACTTTACTAAAAAAATCAATTTATTGGGTTGAAGATGTACTCCACTAAAAAGCATAAAAATATTAAATGTAATCCACTAAAAAATTATTGAGTTGAAGATATCGTCATAATATAGTAAAACAGGTGGTACTTATGTGGGAAAACAACTTATGCATCAGACCAATTCCTATTAAGGGGAAGGCAATAGGCAAGACAAATAGATGAATACAATGGAAAGCAGGGAAGTTAGAAATCTGCTTGCAACTTGAGAAAATGAAGCCAAGATGCTAAGCAAGGAGTAGAAGCGCGGGCCCCTCCGATCCCAAATGAAAGTGATTTCATGGAATGTCAGAGGCTCGGGTGCGGCCTCAAAACGCGCCTTGGTTAAAGACCTTCTTCAAAAAACAGATCTGGACTTAGTTTGCCTTCAAGAGACCAAGAAGAGTGAGATTGACATGTCCTTATTAGTTCCATCTGGCGTACTAGACATATAGGTTGGCTATCTCTGGATGCAGAAGATACGACAGAGGGTATTTTATTACTTTGGAATGAACAAAAAATTACTGTCACACATCCTGTGATAGGAGTTTTTTTCATCACTCTCTTTTTCAGGGGTATAGATGGCAAAGAGGGTTGGTTCACAGGGGTATATGGCCCTTCTTCCACTAGGGGTAGATTCGAGTTTTGGAGGGAGCTGGAAGATTTGGCAGGATTATGTCAGGGGGCGGTGCATTGGGGGAGATTTTAACGTGGCTAGATGGCTCACGGAGAAGGCTAGTAGCGTTGGTAGTAGAATCACTCGAAGCATGAAAGAGTTCAGTGCTCTAATAGTAGACTTGAATTTGAGGGACCCTCCTTTCGACAATGGCATCTTTACGTGGTCTAATATGAGAACTGCCCCCACTCTTTCCAGGTTAGATCGTTTCTTATGTACTAAAGATTGGATGAATGTTTTTGCAGATCAACGAGCCACTAGACTTGTTCGCACAACTTCTGACCACTTCCCAATTCAATTGGCAAATGAGGCTATCAAATGGGGGCCTACTCCTTTCAGATTTGAGAATGCATCGTTGGACTCTCCTCAACTGATCCCTCTGGTAGAAAACTGGTGGAAGGATAATCCATTGAGAGGATGGTTTAGTTATGGCTTCATGGAAAAACTGAAGGGTTTGAAGGGCATCCTTGTCCAATGGAACATAGATGTTCTTGGAAATGTGGGGAAAAAAAGGCAGAGTTTTCGAAAGCTATAGAGGCTCTTGACAAAAAGGAGAAAATGTGTACACTTATGGCTGAAGACGTCATATAAAGAACTAAACTAAAGGAGCAGCTTGTAGAGACGATTATTATTGAACAACGAATGTGGGCACAGAAAGGCAAGATCAGATGGCTAGAGAAGGGGGATGAAAACACCAATTTTTTCCATAGGTGGACTTCTCATAAAAAGAACCTGGCTTTCATTGGGGAGATAGAAAATGAGCAAGGTTCTCGGTTAACAACAGTTGAGGAAATTGAGGCAGAAATTCTGAACTATTTTTCCACCTTATCACTTCCACTGTTGATAATTGTTTTATTACAGAAAATATGGATTGRTCCCCTTTATCTTTTGGAATTATATCTCAGCTTGAAGCTCCTTTTGTGGAGGAGGAGATTAAAAAGGTAGTGGCAGATTTGGGTTCTTTAAAGTCTCCGGGTCCGGACGGTATGAGCCACGAATTCATGAAAAAGGCGTGGAACATCTTTAAATCAGATTTGTTGAAGGTATTCCACGATTTTTTGAGAAAAGAATTATCAACAAAAGGACAAATGAAACATATATTTGCCTTATACCCAAAAAAACTCAACCCTCCTCGGTAAAAAACTTTAGACCCATAAGCTTGGTTACTTGTCTTTATAAAATTATAGCCAAAGTGCTCTCAAGCAGGCTTAAGAAGGTCTTCCCCCTCATCATTCACGATGCTCAAGCGGCTTTTGTAGAAGGGCGACAGATTCTTGATGCTATTTTAGTAGCTTCTGAATTAGTTAGCTACTGGATAAAGGAGAAAAAACAGGGCTACCCCTTAAAACTTGATTTTGAGAAGGCTTATGATAAGGTCGATTGGTCTTTCTTAGATGCAACGCTTCAGGCGAAAGGCTTTGGTGTCAGATGGCGGATGTGGATTTGGGGCTGTCTCTCGACCACAAACTTCTCAGTTATTGTAAACGGAAGACCTAGAGGGAAGATTTTGGCAAAGAGGGGTCTTAGACAGGGTGATCCTCTCTCTCCCTTTCTTTTCACCATAGTGGGAGATGCCTTCAGTAGGTTAGTTCATTTTTGCTACGAAAGGAACATCCTAAAAGGTCTCACTGTAAGCCAAAATTCTATAGAGGTAACACGCCTTCAGTATGCAGACGATGTACTGATTTTTAACCCTTATTCTCCTAAGATGATGGAAAATTGGTGGGGTCTGATTCAAATTTTCCTTACTATGATCGGGATTTCATTGAATGTTGCTAAACTTGCAGCGATAGGAATTAATTACAGTGAGGCAGATGTGAATTTCTGAGCCTCTGTTTTTGGGTGTAAGGCAGAATTCTTTCCCTTCTCCTATCTTGGTTTCCCTCTTGGATAAAATCATAGAATGTCAATCTATTGGGAAGCAGTGGTGGACAAAATGCATAAGAGACTAGAAAAATGGAGATCTTTGTTGCTATCAAAGGGGGGTCGATTAACTCTAGCACAAGCAGTTTTGAACAACGTCCCGATCTATTTTTTTTCAATCCTAAAAGCTCCTAAGTCGGTGATCTCGACCATGGAGAAACTCATGCGAGACTTCATTTAGAATGGTGGAAGATTTAGACCAATTAGAAATCTTGTGAAATGGTCACAGACTGCCTTGTCTCACAAACAGGGGGGTCTCGGTATTGGCTTCCTTGGATTAAGGAATAAAGCTCTCCTCATGAAATGGCTTTGGCGCTTTGCAATTGAAAAAAAATAGTTTTTGGAGGAAGGTGATAGCTTCCATTTATGAGGATTCACATGGTTGGACGTCTTTGCCTTTGCAAGGGTCTTCTATTGGAAGACCTTGGATAAATATACAGAACAACCTAGAGGTCTTCACAAAGCTCACCTTTTTTTAAGTTTCAAGGGGAGACTTAGTGAGATTTTGGGAGGATAGATGGATTGATCCTTCTCCCCTTTCTTCTTTGTTCCCCGATTTGTACAACCTTTCCACTAAAAAGAACCATTCTGTGGCAGCTTGCTGGGTTACCGAGACTTCAACTTGGGATATCGGGTTGAGAAGGTCTTTTTGATAGAGAGATCGATAGATGGGCTTCTTTCACTGACAAATTAGAAGGTATGGTTCCGGGCCAAGGCAGGGATCGTTTATGGTAGAAGGCAGATAGTAAAGGCTGTTTCACAACGAAATCAGCTTTTATAGCTTTGACGACTCCCTTCCCTAAATTGAACACGACCACAGCTTCTATGATTTGGAATTTTAGGGTTCCAAAAAAGGTGAAATTTTTCCTATGGACTCTCTTTTATAGGAGCACAAACACAGCCGAGAGAATACAAAGAAAGCTCCCCCATTGGACGCTCTCCCCTTCGGTTTGTGGTCTCTACCTAATAAATTCAGATTCGATGGATCATATTTTCATCCACTCTTATTTTGCCACTCGGGCTTGGAACTATATGGCTTCTCTTTTGGATTTTTCCTTCTGTCTCCCTAAACATATAGATGACTTCATAGCGAAAGGATTTGGTGGGGTGGCGAAAGCTGCGGTCCTAGCACTGTGCAGCGAGGGCTCTTCTTTGGTATCTTTGGAAAGAGAGAAATAGTAGACTTTTTTAGGACAAATCTATCCCTTTAGATTCTTTTTGTGTGAATACAAAGCATACAACTTCTTGGTGAAACTACCGTCTTTTTTTTATTTCATAGGATTGGAAGAATGCGATTGTATAGTTCTCTTTGGGGAGGGTTCTCTCTACCCTCCGCCTTTAGGTTGTTCTCGTCTTTTTGGACTCTTTTGATTTGAATGCATTCTCTTTGTTTCTTATTAAAAAAATCATATTCTACTATAGTTTAATTAATATAAAATCAGGGAAAAGAAAAGAAAGTAAGAATATAACTTATTTAATTTAACTCACATGTACAGAAGAGTGGGTCTGAGTGAAAAGAGAGAGGAGTCTAGCCCAAAAAAATAGTACTTTCAAATTATTTTAAGTTTAAATTTTTTAGATTTCAGCTGGCTTCCAAAATTGGGCCAAGGAAACAACATTTTCTTGGCGTGTCCCAAGTGTTTGAAATTAAAATAAATAAATAAATAATCGGACACTTCAAATTACATGTCGGACACATATCTGGAGCATGTCCAGATGTACCCATGTCCGACACAGATATTTCTCCTTATTTATCGTGTCAATGTTTTATAGCGTTTAGCCACCCGATCCACGTATAATCCGATGACCCAATCCAACCCAACTCAAAAATAGGGTTGGGTTGTCTACTTGATCTAATTCCATCGGATAGGAGAACCCTCTAACCTGACTCAACCCAACTCGTATACACCCCTAGGATGAGGATAAGAACTTCATTAGCCCAGAGTTAGATCTAACCAAAAAAAATGCACTTTACTCCTTCAAAATACAGTACATCTACAAATAATTGCTCAGAAAATACAACCGGTACAAGGAATGATACATGCCAGAACATTTGAATCGTTTCCTTACACAAGCAGAGCAGCAGAAACCCCATTCAAGAAAGATGAAGAAAAAGGAAAAATGAAGAAAAAGGAAAACAAATTTTGGCAACCTTCAAAGTGTGAATGCCATTCAGCTAACAAGGTGTCTGGGAGACTTGTTGAACATACTGTGCCACATGTATGCTCTTGAAAGCACCATCTCAAGCTCTTGATGGCTCCAATTTTGAGTTGGAACATGCTGGAGAAACATCACCAGTTCTTGGAAATCAAGTTTCTGTAGCTCATCAGACCACTGAAAACAAAGGAAAACCCAATATTATAGCAGACACAACATCTAGACTGAAATTTTTGAACAGAAACAAGTCAAGCAGCTAAATATGATATTGCCCTTCATTTCATCCGTTGAAGAGTTCACTCAGAAACCTCAGAACCTTGAGTGACGCTTCAATAATGTAAGCCATTGAAAGAAACCATTTATAACACTTTCCTTCCAAGAAATAGTATCAAAACAGAGGTTCTTTTTTGAGTCTTAACATGTCACATGAAAATACATTCATCGAACCAAAGAAATTCACTACATATATCGCTGCCAGGGAAAAAAATCTATCATAAAAAGTTTGATGTCCTTACTGTCAAAAGAAAACTGGCAAATATGTAGACAAGGAAATCTGGCAACGAATCCCCTTCAGCAAGATAGGTATCCCATAACCGGGTGACAAGATGGAAAGGAATCTGATGCAACAAAACAAAATCATTAACATTGCATTTATAACTGGCAAGGCACAAAGTATTTGATACTATTGGCTGWTTTTACCCTCCTAGTGGACTGATGGGCTCTATTGATTACAGAATGTAATATGGTTTAAATCTCTACCGAACAGAAATAACAGAAAGGAAACTACAGCAGTATATATTCAAATGTCTTGGCAGACCTCACGTATCAGAAGACAGTTGAACCACCGAAAAGCGAATTGAAGAAATTCCAGACCTTGCTCCTCCATGTGTCTTGAAACAGGTTCTGGCAGAATTAAGGAACATAAGTGATTGGTTAATAAATGGCTTATTCAAATGCTCTAAGCTGTCGGGAAGATGAATTGTAGGAAATTCAAACAGGTGGCTTCTACAAAAGAGTGACAGAAAGAGAGATTACCATCAATCCTCCTAACGAGTTCCTTCAACTTAAATACAAGCCTCTGAATTCCCGGTTGCGCAAACGTGTAATGATCTTGCATACCATCAAGTAATTTCGATAGACACCAGTAGCAATCTGCCTCGATGTTTGTGATCTTTTCAGGAGATAGATCAGAGATAGACCATTTCTCAACACCACCTTCCAAGTATTCTGACAAGAAGACGACTAAAAATGGAGTAGCAAGATCATTTATTCCCTGGACGTATCCACTTGCAGGATGCCGAATGGCCCTGGGTTGAAACCAATTATGTAAATGAGATGCAATACTGATCTCTGCCAGGATCATTATACACATAATAACTGTGTCGTGCAATGCTCCACATCTTGGTCATGTCTACTTGTAGAATAACTAAGAATATTTTACCCAATAAATAACAA